ACCGAGACTGTTTGGGAGCCTCCAAGAAATGGGTTTCCGCGAAAGTATCAAACGCGAAAGCATCGCGATAGTCTCGTCAAGGTTTGCTGTTGCTTGCCTAGATGTCGGCGCATTGGCCATGCAAACGGTCACTGCATTTTACCAGTCGCTGGGCTATTGCTTCTACTGGCCCTTTACCCCTCAATTGGTTACATATCTCTTGCTGCCAGTTCCGCTGCCCGTAGCATTGCGGATGCCTTCATCCCATGACAGCTATCATCGTTGATCTAGTCACACAAGAGATAAACAAAGCTGCAGAGCATGAGTTTTTTTCGTGCATGATCGAGTTTCTACATCGGCATGAGCTGAGTTTCCAGCAGGTCGTGGGCAACTGCCAGCTAGGCTGCTTCGCCGGAGACTTTGTGTGCGTCTCAGCATCCTGAGTCTTGGTATGTCTGCCGCTGCTCAGCTTCCAAGACACTCCTGATGCCAACAGCTTTATCCTGCTGGTTGCAAGCCTTGGGCGCCCAGTTGGAGCTATTCCGGAGGTCATGCTGGCATGCAGCAGCAGACGACCGGAGGGGTTGCATGTCTCAACTCATGAAGCACACTGCCGACACGAGACACGGAAACCCCGCATACGTCCAGTATGGCAGAGACTGACTTGGTGCATTGGCCTATGCTAAGGGCTTTTCCAGGCATGCCAAGCAATGCCAGGCAATGCCAGCGGTCCGGGTCGTGCCACTTCTGCTTGCCTGAGGTGCTTCCAGGTGGTGCGACTGTCTCTCACCCGGACCTTGTCAGTGGCTTCACAGCCCCTTTGCTGGATGGGAGCTTGCCTCGAGCACATGTGCAAGCATGCGCTTTTTTCTCTGCGCGAATCCCCGCTTGTTACGTGCGACGGGGCAGGCCGAGCCGGACTGCCCTCTGGGCTATGCAATAGGCAAGGTGACGATCGTGCACCTTGGCAGCAGAAGCGGACTTGCCATCGAACCCAGAGTTGCAGTGCGAGAGGTGCGTGAACGGCAACATGGAGGTCCAGAGCGGAACCTGCGACGCCCACTGCCAGGCATCTGGGATGTCAGGAGCGGAAGCTCTTTCAGACTGGTTAAAGGGATCCCGATCCGACATCCAGTGCAGAAGCCAAAAAATCCCTCATATTCACCTTCATTCTAGATGAGATACCCTCTGCCAGGCCGGGCGGTTTCAGGGTCCGACTGGATACTTGGCAGGAAGCTTGGATCTACGTGAGCATCGTCACATATACGTAGCGTAACCGTACTTTCGTGTGAACTCAGGTCAATCACCTAGAGATCCAGCACAACGAGACGCGACTGGTTGCCTGCACCGACCACAGAAGTCTTGGTTGAGAATCAGGTTCAAGCAAGACTTACGATCTGCTGAGATATGAACAGAGGGTGTGCTAGGGTGTGCAGCTGTCGGAATTTTGCAGAAGCTCAGGTCCAGCAGGCCAGATTGAGTCGCATATGTGGCAGTTTATTCAGTCTCACAGCTTGCTCAGTGCCAGTACAGGCTACATCGGTCAGCTCCGACTACGGTGCCTTGCTGGGGCCGTCGGTGCCTTGAGCAGTCTTGACACATGCATTAGGTGCATGGTGGGACAACCCTGCTTTTGGTGAGGTTGGCATCGAGACGGGCCAGTGCTTGCGCAACTGTATCGAGGGTGCCACGAACCTGAGGCCCTTCGCTGCCAGTGCGATGGATTGGCCTGTTCCAGTTCACAGATTCCCATTCAAACTTTGATTTGGGTCCCGAGTCCGTGCCAACATGTCTGTCATAGTTTACATGTTTTGACGTCAGAAATGTATGGCCAAGTTTGATGAGAGTAAAAAGAGGGTGAGACAGTCTGACCAGAACGTAAAGTCGCAAAAGCGCTCGGTGCAGGGATGACGTGATTTTTGGCTACGTGCCGGCCCAAGAGAACATGTTGGCCCGGAGTGCGCCGTGGACTCTCAAAGCCAGGGCGACATGGAGCATGGAGAAGTTAGCCGGGAGATGAAGTGCCCTGTAGCCGTGTCCTCGGAGTCGAGGGCACAGGAAACACTCACTAAGCTACGGCCATGCTATGGCTGCTGCCATCCGCATGTCTTCTGCCCTCGCCTTTCAGGGCTACGTCGGCTCTGTCCGTCTGCTCTGCACGGACAGTGTTGCACCTCCGGCCTGCTTTTCAAGGTTTAATCGAAGGCACATGGGGATTCTTTGAATCGGATCCTGGAAGACACACAAGAATCCGACACCCACACTCTGCCGCAATTCCGCCAGGTGTCCGTGGCTTCCGGCCAGTGCCTGGCCCACTGCGGCGCCGGCGTTGCTCAGGGAGCCGAGTCGGGGCCTTCTCTGCTCTGCCTACGATTCCTGTGCGGCGAAGTCGACGGAATCTCTCAGAGAATTTCAGGTTCTTCGGATTGGAACACGAAGATTTCGCTGCAGCCCCGGAGCGGTTTCATGAGAATGAACTGCTGTGAGGTTGAGGTCGTTGCGAGTGGATAAGCGTGTTCTGAAGAAAGCATGAAGCAAAGCTTTGCCGGGGCACTGGCTACGTTCTGTCAAGGTTTCCATTGTTTGTCCGGAGGCGCGGCGAGTCGGAGGACTCTGGTAAAAGGACACCCTACCTGCTGTGTCTTGCCTGGCAGGTTGGCGAGATCAAAGTTCGCTGCTTTGACGGCGAGGTGGAGGCGGGGGACGGAGGGGACCATGTGGCAGGCTCCTTGCACGTGTGCTGTGTGCTGTGGGAAGCAAGGTCGTTGAAGGTCAGTGTTTGTATGGCTGTTCGGCGGGAACCGTGCCGAACCGAGCGCCTGGCGAAATGGGGGAATTCTACCCCAGGTCCAGAGGTCAGGCATTCTCGCTCCCAGGTTGTCGATCCCAACGGTGTGGATCTTAGGCGGTGGCCCAAGATGACATAGGTAGTTGCATAGTGGCAATGAGACGCTGCCATATTCTGAGCCTGCGGTGGAGTTATGCAGCCTTTCAGCATCGTCAGTGCGATGTTGAGGTACCCGGCCTTTCCGCACGGCACCGGGATCAATGGTCTGGTGCTTTCTTGACAGCCTTGTCTCGCCGTGGTTCTGCTGGAAAGATCAGTTCGAAGATGGATCGAAGGCACCTGCAGTGGCCTCGGTGTGGGCACGGTGGAGTTGCATTGCAACAACACTGCTGGAAGCTCTGGATGCCTCGCGGGTACCATTGGCTTCCGACCTGACTTGCTTGTTTCTGAAGGTCGTGGGTTTAGCTGGTGAGGGCACCTGCCAAAGGCGCTCCAGGTGAGGGTCGTGTCAAGGGTTCAATCGCAAGACTCTGCAAGGCACTGCCCTCCGCAATTCACCGAGTCAAGGGACGGGTCGAACGTCGCCGCGCTCAGCTCCGTTGCGCATCCACCGTGTGACAGTCGACGAATGAGCCACCAAGGTCTCCGTGCCCTACATCGAGAACCTTGTCTGATCAATCTAGACTTCGTTGGACAAGAAATCATCGATAACATGCCTAGTGATCTGCCTCGTGGATCCCACTCTGAAACTGTATAAGGCATTTGCAACAGGCCTCCGTGCAGTCAGCGCCTCAGTCTGCCAATCCCTCTATTGCGCATAGACAGGGGCTAAGACCAAGACTCAAAAGCATCAAGCTCCTCGATAAGCCTACGGAGCACCAATCTCCGGAGCGACGTGGGTCTTTTTTGGGTTTCGACGGTCGGTCGTCAGTTGACGAGAGTGATGCTGATGGAATACTTGGCTCGGAGTTTTCGGCTTGCCTTGTGCAATGCGAAGAGTAGTGACACGAGACCCCGTTGTTAAATTGCGGCAGAGAATGACGGAACGTTCACTTGATTCCTCCAAACAGGCACAGTCGCTTTGCGGGGCAGTTATAAGGCTTGCCTCGCAACTCGGAGTGCCTTCTAGAGTCCCTCGAAAGGGTGACTGTCTCCAAAAGGCCGGTCTCGCTCAGTAGATTCTGTCCATCGGCGTGACTCAGGTGTCCCAATGGTCAGGCCGGGGTTTTGGCAGTGTCAGGCACTCAGTCGGCCTGGACGGAACAACGCGGTCGAAAGAAGCCAATCCCTCAGGCGCTGCACGGACTTCGTGTCTTCGGTCTTCGACGGAATTTGCGGCGACATGAACTGCCGAGCCGGAGAGGCTTTCATGTGAAATGTACCATACCGTACTGGTATACACTGGTATCATGTGTTAGGGCATGTTATTGCTGCATGTCATGTATAGTGCCATGTATAATGCTGCTCATTTCGGCGTACTGTTATCGTTGTTTGGTCTAGATGTGTGCAATTCGGAAGGGTGGTCAGTTCTTACATAGAATGTACTGTGATGTTGCTCGCACGCGCTACTGCAGCTTCTCATACTGTATGACATGCTGGTATCTAAGACTGAGATACATCAGTTTTTTGGAAATGATTGCGTATGGCCAAAAGGACAAGCCCATGATCAAAATAGTCGGGCAATGTGCATACGTATGTATACGCAGAGGTGTATGACGCACATGCATGTGTAAAAGGCATGAGGATCTTTCACACAGTGTTATGTGCGATGGTAAGTCATTGCACTTTCTTGAACACATTGCGCTTTGGATGTCAGCTTTATTTCCGAGTCGTCGTTCGGAATTATCAGGCGAGTCGTTGTTATAGCACAGGATGACTTTCTATTGCAGCGTACCTGTTGGGTTTTGTGTGTCGTTTGTTTTCTGTCATGACCTTTTGTTGTCTAGCATTGTGTTGTTCGTCTCTGCCTATTGCTGTAGAGCATAAGCTGACATTGACAGGAAATTCGGTTCTGGGATTGCTGCATCTTGTTCCGTCCTCTGCCTCTCATTAAGGATAGAATTTCCAGCCGCTCCGACTGTGTGGAAGCCTTACATGATCGGAACCAGTATGATTTTGCGAAACAAAGTGCCCGGGAGACTCAGATGTTGCGGGAAGAAAGAGGGAAAGACAGGAATTTCGTGGGGTGGTGGCATGTGCACCTCGGGTCTAGGACTAGGAAGCACCTCAGTCAGTTCTCCGTACCCAGTGTGCCCATCCAGGTTCCTTGAGATCTCTGTGTCACAGCAGGTCGACACAAACGGCGCACTGGTTGCATATCCTGCCATCAACGACAAGCGCAATGTGCGGGGCAGAGATTCAACAGGTAACAGGCTTGCTACTTTGTCTGTGCCATTTTGAGCATGAGGCTGGACCAGGAGATTGCGGCGAGGATTTTCTGGGAGAGCCAGTGTTCTACTGCAGGCTTCTTGCACTGTTTGACGCGCGGGCGCTTGTGCCAGCAAGCAGCCCTGTGCAGTGATGGCGTCGTGTCTGTCCTGGCCGTGAACCTGATCCGACAGCCACGCATTCCCGGCGTCGACAACGTCAGCGAAATAGGCCTCGCGTTCTGCCTCATTCTCGCAGTGTTCCCGAAACATCTCCCGTTTCCCCAGGCTCGAGTTACAACTTCACCGAGGAGGATCGCTTCAAGCTCTGCGGGTGAGCTCAGCAAGCCCCGGCCTGGCCAAAGCCAGGCTTGCGAGTTGACCCGGTGCCAGGTGCTGCAGTCCACCCCCGGCTTTGCCGGACATCGCAGCACTGCCGCTTGGCCGCTGACAGGTCGAACGTCTCCTTCTCGAAAGCACAGCCCGACACCTCGGCACAGCACGAAAGCGCATTGCGCAAGCATCCCATGCGTTCTAAGAAAGAAAGCCTGGATGCAGCATGTGAGCCTGAAGCTTCTCTCGCCCTCCCCCCACCTGTATGTCCCACAGGGAGGGCCTGGACTCCATGGTCGTGATCTATTGGGCGGTGGCAGTTGGAGGCTACCTGCGACCCGTTGCAGAGAGGGAGACTTGGTAGGTTTCACCCGTGCATGTGAAGAGAGGAGCCGGCTTTCTTGTAGCCACCGCATCTGGGTATTGGATCTACAAGAAGAGGTCGGGAGTAGATTTACGCCTGCGGCGGTGCCTTGGAGCCAAGCTGAGGCCACCGAAGGTGAGCAAGGTCACCCCGGAGGATGCCCGGCCCATAGTCTGTTTCGACAGGTGGAGGTCGCTCATGAACATCCTGTGACGCCGGATGCCAGCCCAAGTCTCTCAGGGGCTGGGAGCTGGATCCTCGCTCGCGATCCAGGCCCCTGGTTGAAGCAGGGGGCAAGGAGCGTTTATCGCAAAGCTCTGCCAGGACAACCCGCAGCTCACCAGCAAGGACACGGGCCTCAAGCCACGGACCGCCGTAAGCCTATCGTCCACCTTCCAGGAGCTTGCTCTCAGAGATGCCGCGATGCCAGGGCCCTGTGGCTCACTTTAGTGTAGCACATGCAGTTCCCTGTAAGCCTGAAATCTTGGCTGTGGAAGGTCCGAGCGGGATTTGGCGCTTGCGCTCAAGGCACTGGAATCGTCGATTAGCTCACTCATGTTCTGATTCTTATTGTTATGGTGATTATGGGTTGGTTGCTGTTTACTCGCCACCTGATTTCTCGAACTCGAGTTAAGTTACCTAACCCGCCTTAGCCAACACTCGAAATTCAATGTTTTTCGGAGGGTGCCAGTATCCCTGCCGTCGTGAGCATCACAACGCTTCGCGCGCGCTTCACGAAAGTCCTGCATGACGTGCTACCGCGAATGTTGCTGCCTGCAATCAGAAGACACTTAAAAGCCTTCGCTTCCAGCCCTATAGCCTTTCGGAGCTTTCGTCGGCATGAGTTCGCTTAGGCGATGCAGCAGATCATTGCAGGGGGTTCGCAGTAGGCTGTAGGCTAGCTCGAAGGAGGTCGCAGCAGTCACGCTGTAGTCACGCTGTTTCTTGCAGGACGTGCCCGCCCGGCCTGGGCTGCAGGACCGGGCACATCCGTAGGCGGAGCGATGAGCGAAGAGCCCACGATGCCAGGACAGCGCGTTGCAGCAACTCGCTTGCATAGGGCGAGACTCAGGGGTTCGACATGCTTCGACGAGCTAAGGAGCCAGGTGAGTGTTGACCCGGACGGCAGGTTGGGAACGTCGTGACACAACTCGTGGATTGCTTCAGCGTCCTGGCCATGCAGGCGATCCTCAGCCGCCTACACAGCTCGCACTCAGGCCTCGCAGCCGGATTCCTTCAGCCAAATTCCCAGGACGGAGCTGCGGTGAAGAACTGCAATGCACAAGGGATAACAGGGCGTCAAGTTTGGTCTGTCTAGATGGGGTGATTCGCAGGAATCCGCAGCTCCTGAAACCTGCGCACCTGCCTCAGTCACGGCACAGGCCTGGCCCTGCGGGCCCGCAGAAGAGACGAGCATGTCGAGTCTGAGGCGAGAAGGCACCTCAAAGGACTGGCAATACTGGTGAGGCCCAGGGCGATCCCCCAGGGCTGTGCAGATGTGCTAATGATGTAGTCGGTCCTCCTTGGGGCAGCTTAATTCAAGCAGCCCCTGTGTACAAGGACAGGTAGGAGGCATGAGAAGTCCAATCTCACAGGAGCTCCGAACCACAGCTCATTTAGTGACCTGGTTCGGTTCATGTGGTTCAGGTTAGAACCCTGACTGTTGAAGCGTGCGATCGTTGGAGCCTTGAAGGCTGGCGAATTGCACATATTTTCAGCAAGCCTTTCTTCAGGCGGCTGGGGCAAGGCTTGTGAGAATTCGACAGCATCCAGGATGCTTAGACCCGCCAGCGCCAGCAGAAGCAACAGCACATCAAGCACAGAGTCAGTGCTGAAGTACCTAGAGAAGCCTGACGGGCAGAGAGGCCATCGACGCAGCCGTCACTGCCTGGATGTGCTGGCACCGGGGAAACATGCTTCCGTGCCTTTGTGCTAGAGCCAGCATGTCTGCCTGCCTACTGTGTGGCGATTCTTCAGCTGTCCCAGCTTTCCGCATGAATATATGTGCGGGGGCCAGCACTTCCATCTTCAGAACCAGGGGGCTCGCTGCGCATGGAAACCTCACGTTCCGGGAGCATCATCATGGGGTATCATCTGTAAGGTACTGAGACCTTTACGAGAGGGTGCAAGGTACGGCGATGTCCCTTGCAGTTGCCACGAAAAATCCTTTCAGAGGCCGGCGAAGCAGCTGAAACGAGCTTGGGTTTGACGTTTTGCCGACAGTCCTTAGTCGCTTTATGTTTTTTTGGGGCACAGGTTGCTGCTATGTCTATGTTCGACGACGACCTTGGCCAGGCGACATGAATGGTTGGCACGTCTTGGAGCTAAGTTGTAGCCATGACAGCCAGTGACAAGGTAGCATCTTGTGGCAGGAGCTGCAAACAGAGGAAGCTGTCAAGCCGAAGTCCTCCTTGAAGCCTCGTCGGGGCAGCCGGCGACAGAGTCGGCGAGTCAGTCAGGCATACTGGGATCTCTGCGTTCTGCCCCCTACCGTGCCCATGGAAGCGGCTCCATGCGAGTTCAGGCAGGGGTCGATGCTGCCGTGGCCGCGGCGGTGGGAGAGAAGTCGGAGGCCCCGGGCAACAACGGCGACAACATCGGCAAGGCCCTGTCAAAGATCACGGGCCAGGCCCTCCGGCCACCGGCTGTGCTGTTTCACGTCCCGGAATCATGACGTGGGCGCTCCCCGTCCCTGGTCAGGCCAAAGCCTTAAAGTTTGCAATGGACCTGGCACAGAAGGCTGTGCAAAAAAGGCGAAACGGCTCGGCTTGATAGAGATTGGATGCAAGTTGCTAGGCATATGATGCCCGAGATGAAGAGGACCGATATGAAGTACACGCTATTTCGAGCGATCTTGGCAGAAGAAACGATGACAGAACGCAAGCACTCGCAATACCATATGTGTGGATCTCAGCACAGGAGGACGACGACTTCCATGTGAGCAGCTCAGATCAGTGCCTCCCGAAAAGCCAATCCACTCAGAACTTAGACATATCATATAAGTCCATTGACTTGTAGGGCAGGCAGATCGACAGATCGGAGCATGCACATGTGCTATCATGTGTGTGTGTGTGTGTGTGTGTCTGTGGGCTTCTGCTTCCATCTCTGACGCTCTCTCTCTCTCTCTCTCCCTCCCTCTCTCTCTTTCCCTCTCTCTCTCTCTCGCTCTCTTTTCTATATCTCCCTCTCCTATCTCACCATCTCTTTCCCTGTCATGACAACATATACATGCGGTAGACAGATCGATGGGCAGATCGTCAAGAAGAAGTGTCATGGCCAGGTGGATTGCGAAGAGTCTGATGAGGATCCGGAAGAGAGGAGCCTTGGTCGCCGTTAGAAAGAGCCTGAGATAGCCTGAGCATCATAAACACTGGAAGTTATACAGTTATACTTCAATCCCAAGGAGGCAGGATTCTGAAGAATCTTGGCTGCACCGTAGACGCAAGTGCTGCCGCATGTGGATGGAGATTTGTTCGCCGTAGCCTCTCAGAGACTCCAAGAGCTTTCAGGCACCACAGTGTAGTTTCTGGAGGACATTAGTCAAAACAAGAGACTTTGGCCACCTCAGGCATCATTTGCCCATGGCTTAGGTCGAGAAGCTTCGCCAGCGAGCGAAGTCTGAGCCGGACGCGAAGGCCCGAAGCTAAAGCTGCTTGGGTTCGGTGGGAGGGAAGTTTCACTTTGCCCCTCTTCCTTCTTTGCACTCCCTTGCCGTGCGGAATGCAGCGAGGCGAGGTAGATGTCAGTAGATCCGCATCCGCACCACAGCTGTTCGCAACTGGTTCTCGATTTTGGGGTACCCTTTGAAAGGGCAATTCCCAGAAGGGCCATACTTCTGTAGTATCTTCTTCTCGCAGCCGCGAGGAAGAACTGGAGATGGCGGAGCTCTTCACAAACTTGGAGTCGCTCAGTTTGCCTCAGTCCCTTTTACAGTGATATTAGGTTGCTATTGATAGCACAATTTCCCTGTGCGGTCGCTTTTGCTAGGTTGAGATAGATTCCTTTCTGTCATCATCACCGGAGTATAGGGCGCAATGTAACACTTCCGCTTCAGCTGCAATTTCGATTGCTGCGCTACGTTACTGCTCCATGATGACTCCTGCTGCTGCTGCTGCTGCTGCTGCTGCTGCTGCTGCTGCTGCTGCTGCTGCTGCTGCGGCTGCTACCACTACTCTCACACGTTGACATGTCATCATTCCTGGTCGCCGGATGCCAAGGAGCCCCACCTTTCAGCCTGCTCCGCTGCATGCAGCTGCCTCTGCAAAGATCTGCAGCATCAATCCCGCGTCTCCTTAGACCAAGCCCTGTTGTGAGGTCCGCGGTCTATGCCAGGGCGCAAAGCGTGCCTGTGAGCGATCTTTGGCGGTGGAGGTGCCAACAAGAGAGAGCGCCGCTCTCTCCTGGGGAGAGTTTTATATAGGCTCGCTTCATCAGCTCCCTTTCTCAGGAGCAGCGCCTCGCGGTGGCGGAGATGCTGGGTCCGGTCCTTGAGCGAGAAGTGACCTTCTGCTCATCGCTGCAAACGCCCTCCCGTTTTCGGCCAACTGAGCCCCCGTTTGATGCTTCCGAAATCCGCAAGCCTCGTTGAGGCCAGACGCAGGGTGGAGAGTCCACTGCTCGGATTGGCTAGAGCACCCCACAGCAAGTGCTTGTGACTGTTCACACCTTCCCAGGTGTCCCAAAAACGTGGAATGTCCGACACCGAAGTTTTCAGAATTCAGGTCGCTAACTTCCGGAAAAGATCAGCGAGATGCTGCTGTTTAATTGCATACCGAGGCCTCACAGACGAGGAGCAGCAAAATCTCGATGCCGCAGTCTTTGCCTGTCAAGTGAATTCAGGCTGCTCGCTGTGGAGCTACGTGCTGTCCCTCCACTGGCCAAGGTCACCCGAAAGAGGTTGCGCTACAACGCCTGGAGCAAAGAGGTGATGATACCGAAGTAATTGGTCATACTGCCATACTATCCTTAGTGTGCCTCATGATATACAAGGAACCCTGAGCATATTCGGCACCTATAGCGAACTCAGGTCGATTTGTTGCGGAGACGGCGGCAACGGCTCGCCAACATAGACAGCTGCTGGAATGCAGTGGTCAATAGCACGACTAGCACGAACTGTGCAGAAAGATGCAGAAAGCATTGGCTTTCGTCAGCATGCGATGTTCTAGTTACCAGGTTTTGTATGATGATCTGATGCGACACGCCGTATGCCTGTACCGCCGAGATAAGACCTTCCAGCAACTGCCGGAGCCCAATCTGCATCCTTTGGGTGTCGCAGACGTTGTGATCCGATCTGCAGAATGGTTAGCCTTCAGGCTCCGGTTTACCGAGACTGTCTCAATTCCACGCAGCAAACCAGCTCTAACATTACGCAACAGCATTGACCACACATCATAAACATCATTAAACATCGTTTACTCTGCCAGTGCGTGTTTGCCTAAAGGCAGCACCTGTTTTCCCATGGCCGTCTTTGCTGAGCCATGGCTCCCGGCGGAATCAGGCCGGCACATTCATGCTTCCGTAGCGACTTGGAACAGCAGCAACACGTCTGCCGCACAGGGTCCTCAACGTTGCCGAGAAGCCTTCTGTGGCCCGAGAGATTACTAGCCAACTCGGTGGTGGAGGAGTTTCGCGTGGCTCGATGTTGCAATGTTCCTTCCGTGTGCTTTTGCGTGGCTCGGTCGTATTCTCATGACTTGCTGTGCAGGTCGGAACAGTCATGGAATCCCGGTCACCGAGTTTCCCTTCACACTACGGCAGACGCATCTGGGCCTCCGAACTCATTCCAGCTCGGACCTGACAAAGGAAACACCTTTGGTATCCCAGGCAATGCCGCATGGTCGTCACAGCCGTCCGGGGACACCTGCTTGAAACGCAGCCGCGCGGCCCGTGAGTAGATCTTTTTTTCCGTCATTCTCTGCCTTTGCCACTTCCGTGAAGTCAAGGTTTCCACCAGAATACAGTGTGTGGAAAGCACACAACCCCTCCATCCTCTTCCAGGCACCAAGCCGGAGCTGAGAGGCACAGAATTGCAGAAGGCGTGCGTTGCGACGCCTTCTTGCGCAGGTGCCGGTCCAGCGAAAAGCACCCGCCGACAACAAGAACCTGGAGCTCATGCTCACCGACCTGGCGCGGCAGTGCCAGCAGATGCCTCGGCTCTGTGAAGCTCCCAAAGGCCCCGGCCCCTCCCGGCCCCCCCCACACAGAGGCCTCTGTGGAGATCTGTGGAGCTCAGGTGGCTCGTGCTGTGGCTGGACTGCGACCGGGAGGGCGAGGCCATCGCTTTCGAGGCCAGTGTCTCTTGAGATTTCCCGAGTGTGCGCGGCCTTTTCATCTCTCAACACAGGTGCTGGAGACGTGCCAGCGAGCAGCAGGCGGCCGGCTGCAGGCGTGATGTCGCCCCTATGCGATCTTGATGCCACCGTAGCATCGAGCCGGCAACAGGTCTTCAGGGCAGTTTTCTCGGCACTTACAAGGCAAGATCTCGTTCGTGTGCGACTTACATCATCCTTTACAGATCGCGGCCTGCTGAGCGTGTCCTTCTTGTGGCTGAGGTGCCTGCCAGACCCTGCGAGATCCGGATCAGCGGCTGGCAGATGCAGTCGAGGCTTTCGTGAACATCTAGCCTAAGTGGCATCGGATAGCATGGCTCGGCCACAAGAGCGACAGGCACGTCAGCATTTTGATCTGCGGGCGGGATCGGCCTTTACGCCCTGGACTCAGCGCATCCCCGGTGAAGCGTTTGGCAATCGCCATGCATGCCAGGCGTTGGATGAGCCTGCGGTGCGCTAGTCTTGCTGGACATGCATGCTGTGATGTGCGGTGTATTTATTGTTCACAGAGCCAGGTACCAGAACATGTTCCCAGAGCTGTGCCAGCAGCCGCTGAGTTATGGGCCATGCCAGGCTCGATTCATGCTCACCGGGGCCTCGATGCGTTAAGGATGCGTTGACCCCTGCCTGCGCAGTTCCCGACCTTGGGCTTTGTCGTCGAACGCACCTGGGCCCGATTAGAATCAGGACACGGCTAGCAGTAGCAAGCGAACCTCGACCATCAACTTATTGATGTTTACAGGTATTGTCACGGTATTGTGATTGTGGGCGGTGCTGGCTACGACGACGACGATGATGATGACGATGTGTGGTCGGAACGGATGATGATGCTTGTCGTCTTACTGTTTCGATGGGGTGGACGTGACGATGCTGGTCAGGACGAAGAGTTAACATGACGATCATGGCGGCAGTCTTCATCACGGCGCTGACGCTGGCTATGACGCGTACTAATGGTGATCCTATCATTGACTCAAATTCCAACGCTAGCAATGCATGGGTGTGGTGCTCACCGTGCTGAATATACTTATGGTTCTCGTTGCGCTTACGATATTTTTCACGACGTATGACCACTGGGAGCATCTAGACATGCATGCAGGTCCTGTGCTAGCTCCCTGATAGAACAGTTGTCACATCCATGATCTGCCGATGATGTCGTTGATGATGGCCACGGGGATGATGATGGTTATGATGATGACGATGATGACGATTATGATGCTGCTAAGCTCAGAATGCTGCTAATGATGTTGGCCATGGAGCTGTTACCATGATAACGACTTGGGCCATGGGCTGATGGCGCACAACCATTTGCCGTGGTAAGCCAGCTTCCGTCGCAGTAGCTTTCGCTGGCCGGCTTACTCCTCAAGTCAAGCGTCGCGAGCACATGGCCTTCAGGATTTCTGCGCATTCAGCGGTTCGTGTCCGAGCCCTTCTGGTCCATCAAGGCTGAGGTGCGGGTGGTACATGGGCACATGTTCGAGGATGTCGGACGAGTGTCGATGCTGTCGAAAATTGCAAAGCCTGATCCTTGCGGAAGCGCAACTGTCCGATGATCAGGTGCAGAAGGACGGCCACAGCGTGCGCTTCAACTGGCGTCGGGGCCGCCTCTTCGACCGCTTGGCTGTTCTGGCGCTCTACGAGCTGGTCGTGGAAGAGGCTCGGAGTACACATCACTTTCTGGTTGCACTAATTCTGGTGCGTGTTGTTAGTGCTCGTGCTGGTGTTAATCTGAGTGCTATTGTTGCTTGCGATCGATGCTGCTGCCACTCCTCTTCATCATCCTCCTACTACCACCGCCACGCCCACCGGCGCCACCACCACCACCACCAACAACGACCGACGACTGCCACTACGATGACTACAATGCGACGACAACGACTATTGCTACAAGCGCGATGCCAGCACTACCAACAAGAACAATCATCCCAAGAACGACGGCAGGTTGCATCATGTACAGCTTGTGACTACGAATAGCATACTATCAGTAGTTATAGCACTTTCATGAGTAAGGATAAGAGTAGCGGCGCTGTTATTGCTAAGAAGTCATACTGTCATACTGTAAACCAGCAGTAGTAGCCAGAACAAGGCCATCAAGGCTACAGATACTGCTTCTTCCGAGAATCGCATCGGAGCTCTGACGCTCGCTGTTCTGAGGCACCTCGGGGGGCCATTGTCACACGAATTGCCGAAGAGCCGAAGAGCCGATGGCGGCCGCTGCCCCTCAACACCGTGCAGTCCCTGGGCCCAGATGACAATGAGGGTTTTGTCCGCCATGTTTGATGTGCGTCTCTTTGCAAGCCAAGTGCCCCTCGACAGGATGACGAAGCTCGCGACCTCCAAACTTCACATGGCGCAAACGTCTCAGCTGTCGCCTGTTCTCCACCTCCATTGCGCAGAGGCATGTCTCGAGGTCAGCCCGATGCATGCAAGTTGCCGAGGAGTTGTACCAAGGAGGCGCCAAACGGAACCTCCTTTGCCACAGTCGGGCCTGCTGTTTATCCACCTTGGAGGCTACATCTCCTACCCTCGCACTGAGACGGATCGTTTTCAGAAAACGATCGATGTCTTCGGACTGGTGCGGACGCAGGCCGCCCGTTACAGGAAGCTGGAGCTATGTGGTGCATTGCATGGTGCAGGTTCCATCCAGCGCCTGGGGGAACTTCGCTAGGCCGGCTTTGAGTCAGTGCACCAGTGGGAGGGTGTGGGAGATGTGGGAGTGGGCGAACGGCGAACGACCGGTTGAGTGAGGGAGTGGAGCCACCTCCGTGAGTTGAGTTCTGCTTTCGGATACCGCTGCTGGTGCTTTTGCTGATCACGAGAAGGGTCGTGATTGCATGGCCAGACGTGGAGTCGCCCACCCTCACAACCTGAAGAATCCTGAAGCTTTTTGTGCTCGTGTGCTCGATGCATCGCAGGAGCCTGGTGGACGGGCGCTTTACAGAGCCAAGAGCTGGCTCGAATGACGCACGCGGCTCAGGAAGCCACATGACTCTCTAGCATGTGCTATTGTTCTAGGCCCTTCATGCGGAAGCATCAGAATGAGAATCGACAAACCTAGCACGCACGTCATTGCTCTGGCATTCCTCTTTGCAGTCTTGGCGCTGAGGACCATGCCCATCCACCGATACACCCGGTTCGCTGTGGCCACTCTGCCTGCAAGTTCACCTACCTTTGCTGATAGCTGCACAATGGAGCTGACGAGGTGAGCGTGGCCAATTCACTGACGAGTCGTGGCGCGTTTACGAGCTCATCACCCGACGCTTGCTGTGGTTTTCAGAACGCATCTGCTTGAGTAGCAGGGCAACTCTCAGTTTGTGCACTGTGACACCTGACAAGGACACTTTTTGGCATGTTGTGCCCCCGACGCGCGAGGGAACCGAACAGAGGTGGACATATCGATCGCAGAAGAAGAGTTTGCAACCTCCGGAGATATAGTGCTTGACCGCGGCTGGTTGGATGTTTATCCTTACTCGAATTGGGTCAATGACCCGCTCCCTCAGTTTCGAAACCAGGAGGTGGTGGCCTTCTCGTTGTTGGAGATGGCGGAATCCAGGACTCAGGCGCCTCCGCTGCTCAGCGAGGCAGACCTGATTTCCCTGATGGATCGTGAGAAAATAGGGACGGACGCAACGATGCATGACCACATTCAGAAGATACAAACCCGGACCTACGCCGTGAAGAATGCAGATGGCCGGCTTGAGCCTTCGAGGTTAGGACTCGCCCTGGTTCAGGGCTATCAGAGGTTTGCGGCCGAAGAAGGCATGGACCTGTCCAAGCCGATCCTGCGAGCCAGCATGGAGCGTGGGATGGAAGCAGTGGCCGCAGGCCGACAGAGGAAGGAAGACTTCCTACGTGAAGCCTTGGACGTGGCACAGCGATGCTATGCTGCTCTGGAGCGCAACGCCCCGGCCTTGGACCATACACTGGGCCAGCACTTCTCTAGTCAACTGGATGTGGGGCGACGTGCGCAAGTGGTGCAGGCGGCATTTTCCATGTGTCGGTGTGGTGCGAGCATGGAGCTGCGCCGCCACGTGCCGGGAGGTCCTCCTGGAGGAGGCGGAGCCGTCGGTCGTGGGCGAGCTCGGGGTCGCGGGCGAGCTGGGAGGGCAGGGCGAGGGCGAGGACGAGGCCGAGCTATCCGTGGTCGTGGGCCCGTGCAGAGGGGCCGAGCTGCTGTGGCTCGACAAGAGCTGTTCCTCGTTTGTCCTAACGGCGCTTGCGGTGTCGTCCTACGCCTCAGCTTGCGCAGTGACCAGACCCCTACAGCGTATGGACACATGTGCCCAATCTGCGACTTCCAAGTCCTGAACATCAAGAACGAGGAGAGTCGTTTTAAACACTTTGAGGTTTAAACGGTCTGAACTTAAAGTTATAGTAGTTATTATGCCATATTATGCATGTTTAAACATGTTTGGCCAGTCAGGCAGACGTTTGCTTGTTTGTTTAAGCAGTGGCCTCACAGCGAGATGTTTCAACTATGGTTCAAGCATGTCAAGAAAAGGCGTTGAAGTTGACACCTTTATAAACGCACACGTGTGCCAACTCCCGGGATGCCACACATCCCGCAAATGTGTTTACACCCCCCCTAAACCCTAAACCCTAAACCTTGTAAGGCTCAAGGCCAGGGCTAGGACCCAGGAGTCTGCGACTTCGGGCTCAGGGTTTAATGGAGAATCGGGCTCAAGGTTTTCAGGTTAGGCCTCTAAACTCTAGGCCGACCCCTACTCAAGTGCTACCCTTATCCTAGCACGGGTGTGTAGGTTAAAACCCTTAGCCTTGTGGTTAGCTTGACCTAGATGAAACAAGTTCAAACGCTGTTAATATGTTTAAACATGGGTGAGAGGATTGCGTGAATGCGTCTAGACGCGCATGTTGAAGCATTTCGCCTTATGTTTGGCTTCATGGCTACGGTTTAAACATGACACGTGAGAAGGTTTGAACATTCAGCGTTTCAACATCGGTGCGTTTAAGCAGTTCAAACACAACCCCCGCCCCAGCTCGGCGAGGAGACGCAGCGCAACCATCAGCTGTGTCCTCACTGCTTCAACTATGTCCCTCAAGATCTTCATCCCGGTCAGACGGAGCTTCGCTGTTTTCAGTGCGTGCATCCAAGTTACTTGCTCGCAACCAAGCAGTCTTTGCCTTTCGTGCCCAACCTTACGTTCTCCCTGACTTCATGACACGACAGGCTTACATTCCAATCTGGTCTTAGGTTGCAGACTTGCAGCAGGACGTCGAGCTCCAGCTGGAGCTGGAGGCGCCGGGTTGTCTGCCGTAGATGAACTGAAATTTGATGAAATCTTCGATCCCTCCGACAATGAAGGGTCATTATTGATTCCGCGCAGGTGCTGCTGCGGCTGCTGCACTCATCGCTGCGGCTTTTTGAGCTTGAGCCCAAACCTCTGCTTTTCGTCCAGGGTGCTGGTGCGAGACGATGAGACGCTAGAAGGAAGAGCATAAGGGTGAAGTCTCCCTTTTTCCATTATGTCATGTCCATCGATATCCTGCATCCAGGTGCCGCTTGATCGTGGTGTGGAGTCTCTACTGCGGACAACACGGTGAATTCCCGTCCAAGAATTCGGTTAGTATGTGTCCAGTCCAGCGGTGAAGCCACTCGCTTGCATCATTGCCGGCTTCAGCTTTCCCCAACTTTCGGGTGGACGAGGGGAGATGTGGTACCGGGATACGAGCGACACAGTGCTGGCCTCCGCAGCCGGGAAAGTGTATATCAAATTCGGCAGAACGACATGATGCTGAGCTTCGGATGAGAACTTGCGAGCATGTTGTGGTAGTTTCGCCAAGCCCATCTCCGGCATCTTCGGTAGAGAGCGGGGTCGGCATCAGACACTTCGGCAGTTCGGGGTTTTGGTGTGGAACAAAAGGTTCAGGTTTTCGGGTTGGGATGTGGGGTTTTGGGGTAGGGTCTTGTCTCTCATTGTCTCGGGTTATTCCGGGCTGACGTTGGGCGTCTCAGGCCAAGCTGTGCTGCTGACTTTAAAGATCTTCGGCATGAGCCGCTGAATGCTTCTGGTATCCAGAACGGCGAAGTCGCCAGCACCTGGGCTTGACACATGCTTGCCGACAGTACGGACAGCGCATTCTGCGAGCTGATCCGATCTCTGACACTCGCCCCAGGTGGTGAAGGGCAGCGACATCATCAGCCCAGGAAAAGATCTTGTTGCCATTTGTTGCCCTTGCATCTGGCCGATTGGTGCATCCGACGCTAAAATGTGTTGCCAAGGCCGGAGCAGCTCATCGAGGTACCCGCCCCAGTTGCTACCGGCAAGAGCCCGCCCTCATCCAACGCGGTACGAAGATCGCCTCGTCATTCCGCAGTTGAGATCAGGCCGGAGCAGATGGTGACTACGAGTTCATCAGGTGCCCCAGAAGCTCTAGACGGCATCAGAAGCTTCTGAGACTGCGGAGTCGGAGTGATCTCGGTCCAGACTCTGCGTCGAAGCTGGAGTTCCGCTGGACATTTTCAACGAGCGTGGTGCCTTGCACTCAGCTTCGACTCTTCGACGCGACTCTTCAACTTGATGCTGATGAGTTACGACAAGGTGACGCCGCTGATCTCGGCCACCGTCAACAACAAGGTGGCCAGCGCGCGGGGCACCCAAGAGCCCTCGCGTTGTGAAATGCCTACTGCGTACTGCTTGCGCACGCTCCTGCTCGAGGAGGCTCTTGCTTGAGTCTGGGGCTGATCCGTCCATGCAGGCGAGAGCGAATCCCGGGCCACTTAAGGGACCTGGGCTCACTGATGCCTGCTTTCGTGCCTGCTTTCAGGACATCAATGGTGCAACCTGTGCTCACTATGCCATTGAACTGCGCCGCTTCCAGGCTCTTTAAAAAAGAGGGGGCCGAAACAATTTCGTGCCATCAGTCACGGCTGTTCCGACCCTTCTCAGATTTTGGACGCGGCTTTGGAAGCCATGAGCCGCCGACGAAGTTGGGTGGTCTGCGCCTCAGACTTCGCGTGGAGCACCGGCTGTCACTCTTAATTGATCTGCCTTTGCCCCCAGCTGGCAAGCGATTGCATCGGTTGCAGCCAAAGTGCCGAGGCAATATACATCAAGGACGCACGAGGCGGCTGGGACGTCTGGTCTGGTTGAGGGTTTGGGTGCGTGTGCTGGCCGGAAAGGCTACAACGTCCTCGACTACGCTCGCCTGCCGGGCATGGTCCTCGGTCAAGCTTGAACGGAGGGACCTCTGGGCCGACCGAAGAAGGCCGCGGCAAACAGAGAACGGCCTCTGTGTGAAGTATAGTATAGTACGGCGTCGAAGCAAGGCGCTATGAGAGGAGGCCAGTGGATGTAGGAGGTAAGTTCTCCCGGACAGCCCTGGTCGCCGGATAGCAAATATCCGAAGCTGCCACGCTACCACTCGATTGAACAACTTGTATCGCTTGGCCACTCAAGTTCCGAGACATCCAGACAAGTTTTTCTCCAAGGCTATTGCCTTTTTCTTTGAGGAGTGGTGGTGGTGGGGCTAAGTTGACCTGGTTCTTGGCTTTGGCTTTTCCGCAGTGCCACTGCTCCGCCTTCCCGACCTTTTGCTTGTGTGCCCATCGGCTATCTTTGATTGGCTTTGTCATGTTCAGTCACAGAAGGGCCTTGCGCTGTGGCTGCAATCTTTCCCGCCCTTTGCACTTCCATGCGTCGTGGTGGGGACAAGACCAGCCGGTACTGAGCTTCAGGACATAATGCTTGCAGCCTGTTTTACCTCGGGTCAGCAAGTGCCATTCTCCTGGCATATAGCCATCATCTTCAATCTACCGCGTGGTGGGAGCTCACCCGATCCGCTGTGGCGATTTAGAATCCGCAGACGGGGAATCGGCTGCAATCTTTCCCGCCCTTTGCACTTCCATGCGTCGTGGTGGGGACAAGACCAGCCGGTACTGAGCTTCAGGACATGCTTGCAGCACGTCACACCTCGGGCCAGCAAGGGCCATTCTCCTGGTATGTGGCCATCTCATCATCAGTAATGGTTCGCATAGCGCATTTGCTCGAGATACGTTTTCGTCAACAAGCTTCAAGATGAATACTCCGCGAAACTTCTGATGTATCGACAGCCACAGCTGCCTGTTGGCGTAAAGTGCAAGTTGAAGCTAGCATGCTCGCCATCGCTGGAGATCACGACGAGAGCCTTCGCCTTCTGAAGTTACGCCGAAGCCCCGGGTGTTCGCAGCAATTCTGGGATCAACGTGCAAATGCTGCAGGCTTGGGTGGACCACTGGGCTTCGTGTGGGCGGCACCAGCCTCAAGAGCGAACAAGCTCTTGGCAAGTTGGAAAGCCATTTAGCACAGATGAAACATCAGCACCTAGAGGCACCATTGTCAATGCTAAGGTAACAGAGAGCATGGTTCACAATGCGATGATCAAGATGCCGAGGGGCGAACAAAATAAGCCAGGGACCTGGACCATTTCTCCATGTGCAAGGTGCATCCGTCATGCCGAGATACACTCCAGGCGAGGCTTGGCAAAGCATGTGGCCAAGCTGGCTGCTGAGAGGGCGGCTGCAAAGGCAGGCAATTCGCAAGCTTCGGTGGTCGTTTGGTCAAGTCCTTCTGGATGCATCCAAGCATGCGGAGGTGAAGGAAAAGATCCAGCAGACCAAAGAAAAGGCGCGTGAGAAGCTGGAGACCCGGAGCATGTCATCTGTGTTTTTCGCCGTGGCGCAGAGCTGCGAACGAGAACGTATTTCGGGCTCAGGCTGCTCGGTGGCTGGTTGTGCTCCTATTGTGATGGGCTTGGGCTTGTGGAAGCGTTGCCAGGGTCGCTTTGTGAACTTTCAAAGCGTGGCGAGTGCATCCGCCCGGCTTAGTCACGGCCCAGGTAGTGAGGCGAAGATCTCCGAGAAGAAGCTCTCGGAGACGATTCACATGGACATGCCCGCTTCTCTCCGCTCAACTTAATAATCTTTGTTAGGTTCTCGTACCTACCAGAGACTTCCTCTTGTGCAAGTCAAGTGTCCTTGGGCGCAGCTTGCTGCCGGTCCTTTTTTTTTTGTGTTGCTTGTTTTTTTGGTTTGGGGGGTCTCCAAAACCGGGAGAAGGTAAATCATTCAACGTAGCAGGCGACATCCAGTTCCGAACAGGTCACGAAATCCTCATGTCTCCGACATCGGTTGAAAGCCCTTCTGCACCACCCCCTATGGCATAGCTCACTCTCTTTTTCAGTTTTTCTTCTGTGGACTTGGCGATAAGGCCAACATCCATTCCTCGCACCATCTGCCGAGGATTCAGACGAAGACGATGAGGATGGCATCCCAGACTTGCAGAAGTTCACGACGATGATCATGTAGAAGACTTTCGATTGCCGAGACCCAACTCTTCGCAATTGAAAACGAGTCTATGCTACTGGTAGATTCTGTCGCGTTTCGTTTCGAACCTGACGGGTTCTTTCTATCTGCTCGTCTGTCTCCCTGCCTCTCCATCTATCTAGCTGTATGTCTGCCTGTCTATCCATCTATACATCTATCCATCTGTCTATCTATCTATCTATCTATCTATCTATCTACCTATCTATCGATCTATCTCAGTCTGTCTATATATCTATCTGTTCATCATCTATCCATTCTATCCTGTCTGCCCTGCTGTACCAAGTCTATCTACCCCACTATATCTATCCTATCTGTGCTACCTGTAGAATATGTCTCATCTGTCCTATCTCTCCTATCGCTCCTGCCTTTCCGAATTTCATGTCTGTTCTATCCGACTCACCCAACCTATCCAGCGTGTCTATCCCACCCACCGCATCCGTCCCCTCTGTCCTGTCTTCCCGATCTACCCTAACAGCTTGCTATCCTAACTACCCACCTGTTCTAACTTCTAACTGTCCATCCACCTGTTCGTGTGTTTGCCCGTCTGTCGGTCTATCTACTTATCCTATCTGTCTAACGACCTATCTTCTTGGCTTACTTGTCTAACCTAACGGATCTAATCTACTCTCAGCTAATCTCATCAAACTTATCTAGCCTCACTAATCTATTCTGGTAGTAGTTTAATCTCATCCAATCTTACCGAGGTCCTAGTCTAACCTAACCTGACCTAATCTGACCCAGCCTAGTCTAGTCTAATCTAGTCAACCCAATTTACTCTATCGGTCTCCGTGTCAGGCACATGGCGGTGTTCGCAGATGCCTCGTGTAATTATCATGGTCTATGTATGTTCTTCGAGCTTGTCTCTCTCATCACTCCTACTTATGGGGGTACTTGTACACACATACAAAACATGTACATCACCCTGGTGCTCCGCCACGCCCTCGTAGCATGAGACGGCAGATCATAGCTGTCATAGTCATAGCAATCATCTGAGAAAGGGCCTGCAAACTCTGTGGGCCATTTCCACCTTTGTACATAGATCTGCGCTGAAAGCAGCTTGGCCAACGCTGCCTCGCTGCACTTTGCGCCCATGGATGCTCGAGTGGTTCGGAGCAGCGAGAATACGAGAAGCAGTGTTGCCATATCTCCTTGTTGCATCTCGGTCCTTGTGCAGCTGCTCCTTGCTGTATCTTCGGCCGTTTGAAGCTCTACACAGCCGCGATCGTCCTGCCCTGCAGCAAATGTGTTGTCTTCCGGAGCCACACCGGCTACTAGTAGCAGAAGCAGAGACGCAGATAGCCTCGTACACGCAAATGAGCAGCGAATCGCGCCAGTTTCGGAACAGAGTCCTGCAGCCATGGCGGGCATGCATGGAGTTGCAATTGGGAGTGGGTGTGTGCCTCAGGGAAAGGGAATTTGGCGAAACGACATGGAAGCTTACACCGAGGATCGAACCTCGATGGAAGCACGACGAAGTTTTCATTGGCAAAATGGAGAAGGCAACCGAAGGGTCATTGAGTCATAGAGCGTCGAGAGGTGTTCGTATACTTGGGAAGCAGCCACAGTTTCACTGCAGTCTGTGTGGCCGGCACAATGCCAGGGCGAGTCCATAGAGATCACCACCTGCTCTGAAGATACTACCAAAGAGCAGCGCGAGATTTTGCAGGAGCCCGTGCAAGGGAACCCTTCATCAACCCAGCTCGAAGGGCGCTGTGATGCTGTGTGCCAGGAGCGCCAGCTCATAAGCAATCCGCTGAAAGCATGTCTGCGATCCTGTCGAAGCCACGGTTGCTCTGACCATTGTGAAGGGAGGGAAGGTGGCCAGCTAAGGTGTCGACTCCCTGAATGGTGTTGTGGATGAGACTTGGTATATGGGGACATTTCCCAACAATGGTTTGCATGATGAATGGCCATCGCTTTAGAAGTGTTGAGTTTCGTTCTGGTGAGTTTGTTTTGCCCTCCTAAGGATAGTGCGACGCCGAAGGCAAAGCCGCGGAGGCCAGGTCTTGGCTGGGGAACCATTGAGTTTCATGTTGAATGCCTTGAGAGCAGGGAGAGTTCACTTTTTTGGAAGACTTGTGAAATCATTGCACCACCTTCTCGGTGCGACCGGCTGTTGCACCTCTTCTGGCGGAGTCGGCTGATCGACCCTTGTCAGGGACTCTCTGATTGTCATTCATATGGATTGTGCTTCGGTTGTCGGGTGCAAGTCTGAGTTTGCCGTGGTTTCCCGTACGGATCCGTACGGCGCCGCAAGTTTTCCGACGCGCCGGACTTGAAGCTGGAGCAGACGACTGTGCTGCATGTTCAACAGGCCGCGGAGAGAGCAGACCATGCTGGACAAACTGAGCAAGGCATAGCTTTTCGGTGAAGCAGAGGCAGCAGAGTTGCCAACAAGCTTCCAGTTTTAATTCAGAAGTTCTCAGATCGTGACGATCCTCCAGTGGGTGCCAGAGCTGACCTTCCACAAGGTGGGGGAACATGCAGCGAATTCATCGCCAAGGGGTTCTGTAGAGACACCGATGTGTGGCCGCGTCCAGGTTCGTGCTGACCTCGTGGCTGGTCTGACGGCTTGGGGCCAAGTGAACCTTCAGTGCGTACAGTACCGGCGATCTTTCTGTCTGTCTGCCTGCCTGCCGGCAGTCTGCCGTCTGCCCGTGTCTAGCTTCCTTTCTCCCTCCCTCTCCCTCTTGCCCTCGCTGTCCTATACGGCGGGTATCGTGCACTCTAGGCACGTTGCTAGCTGGTTTTCCCTCTTCGTCAGCGGTCCTTGGTGCTGACTCAGGTCGGCGTCATGGTGATTCCGCAGAGCATGTCGTACGGAGCAATCGCAGGCGACACCACATCATGCTGTATAAGCCGTCCGGACATCGATGGCTCTCGTGACCCGTGAGGGCTTCCCTACATCAACGGCATGTACTCGGCTTGCGTTGACATCTCAGTGTGGCAGAGAGGGCAGCGCAGTGCACAAAGGGGCACCATCGAGTCCCAGAGGTGCCCACGCTCGTCTATGCCTTGTTCGGACAGAGCCGGCAGCTGGCCGTGGGTCCCGTGGCCATGGCGCAGCTCTCAGCGACGAGACGCGGACGGGACGCTTCCGGACGCCGTGTCTTCGCCCCGCGTTTCTTCGAGGTTTCGCTGCTCATCGAAGCCGGCCTCAACGGAAGCCTCGGGCCGGCCAGGGACCGAAGAGAGTTGAGACCTCACAGAGTACCAGGCAACTTGGGGCTTCGAGAGCTGAGGAGTGCAATGTTCCCGGCAAGGCACAGTACGAGGCAGAGAGAGGGATCAGAGGGGCAGCGGGCTGCAGGGCTGCAGATGCATCTGCAGCAGCCCAGGTTTGCACCAGCGAGTACGTTGGCCTTGCCTGCCTTGCAGCTGCGCTGGTCGGTGTGATGCAGGCACACACCTAGCCGGACATAGCTTCATTGAACATTTGAAAGTTTGTCTTCTGCCCTCCGAAGTTTTGCACGCATGCAGGTTGCGGCGAGCCTTCTGAAGCTGGGTTTTCTGGTCACATTTCTAGGCCATCCAGCCTTGGCCTTGGAACAAAGGCGGGGTAAGGAGGACGGAGGGATCGGCTCCTGGCACAAGGTCATCAGTGGATTTACCAGTGGTGCCGCCATCATCATCGGCCTCAGCCAGCTGAAGTGCCCCAAACCCTTGCAAGGTGGACCGCCTCAGAGACACTTCTCCAAAGGTACATGCTGGGCTACGACATTCCAAAGTCCCAGTACATCTACGACACAATCATCAACGCGGAAGCCTGAGCTTCTGGTTCTGATCATTCTTATTCGAAAAGATTATCGGAGTCCGTTGTACGGGGCGCTGCCCTACGGGGTGGTGCTCAGTCCGGGGTCTCTGTCAATCATTGCGCCGGAACGGAACGAGATCTGTTTTTCAAACCTCAGTCCGAACTGGCAGCATGGTTTCAGGAATGAAGCAGACCAGTTTTGCTGAATTGTTGGACTGGAATAAACTCAAGGATCACGTTAGCAGTCAACTTTTTGACGTGCTTTCGCCTCGAAAACATGCTCGGCTACACTTTTGACGGCCAGGGCAGCGATGAAAGAGTACACATGAAGCTACTAGCATTTCATTCCAATGGAGCTCGACGCCGACAAAGCCAAAATGGTTTCATCGAACCATGTTAGCTGAGTTTCGGACCCGACACGTTCGCTAGCAGAACGTCTCCGGAAGCTTTTTTTCAGGTGTGGAACAGGGCATTTTTATTGAGATTTAGACAATGACTTTTGGAGTATTTTCCCGGAGCTGAGCGCTTGGAAGGCTGCTCAGGATTGCTCAGGGTTTGTCTGCATGCCCAACCGCACAACTTGTTTTCATGCTGCCGGGCAGTACCTTTAAACCGGGTTTTCCAGGCTCGTCCAGAACTGGCCTCAATACGCCGTATTTAGTGGAAGCATTGTTTTCGAGACCATCCAAAACTGGGCATTGTTTTCGAGCCTGCCCACCAACTGCTGCTCTAAATATGCCTTAATGACTCAGTTCAGTGCCTGTCCAGAGCTCGGTTTGCAAAAGCGCTGTAGTAAGAGGGGACCCGGCCAAAACTGGCCCTAAGCGATGGAGTGTGGTTTCGCGCCTGAAGCAAAACCTCCCTGTCAAATCTTGCCAACTCATTTTCCACACTCGTAAAGTTACAGAAAGCTCAATCTTCGACGCATTTGGCTTCGAAGCCATACTCCCGGGCAGCCAGAGCTGTCAGATAGGGCTGCAGGATGAAAGCATGACGTGACATGTTCATTGAAGTTATGATTCTTTTCGAAAGAAAGGCACGAGACCCCACCAAACCCAATCTGTTGTTTGTTGTATGCTTCCTGATGCTTCAGCAGCCGAGAGCGTCGGCAAGCATGATTTTAGGCATATAGTACACTATCTTCTGTTGAGTTTACAAAGTCTTTCCATTCTCCCGACACTCGCAGCCGCCAGGACGGTCAATGAGCATGATCGCTTCTGTATCATTGGCAACTCTAAATTCAAATTCACGGAATGCCAAAATTCTGTCGCATTCTAACGCTCTACATGTTCTTGGTTCGAGACCAGGCTCCCAGACACTGTTGAGAAGCACGCTCTCCGATGAGCGGAGATCTGGTTTCTCCGTACCGTATTTGGTAGAAGCTGCAGCTGTCCACAATTACATCACCTGAACCATGCCAAGCCTTCATCCAGCCCACACCATGCTTAGGGCAGGCCTGTTTGAGAGTCCGCCGAAATGCGTCGTATTCACTGAAAAGTTCGAGCCTTCCCACAGTTTAGCAGAAGCCTTGTTTTCCTGCCCGTCATAATTACACTGTATTTAGGAGGCATTGTTTTCTAGACCGTCCCCATCCTGCCTGCCTGCTTCCAATATTGGTCGCCGTTTCTACCATGATCGCTGTGTGACCAGTCGAATCCATTTCGTCCATTTCCCTTTCACTGTCTGCTGTCTTACGCATTCGTCTAGGAATCCGGCTTCGTTACGGTCAGGACCTTGCAAGTGGAGAATCAATGGGTCCTGTGCACCCAGGTCGCCATGAATATCCAGGAAACGAAGCCGACCCCTGGTTCGAACATGGCCTTGCCAACGTGCAAGATGCGTTGGGCCACAAGCACTCTTGTCATCTCTAGTCTGTGTGGACTTTAGCTTGATTCTTCCGTGATCAGGATGCCCCTGCTGTTGGGAGTTCTTTGGTTGGCCTACTTGATCAGCAACAAGCAAATCGCAGGAAGGTGCTCCGAGCTACTCTCAGAACTGACAAGATGCTGTGCATAATGGATACAGGTACCGACGTCTGAAGATGCTGGCTCCCATGGGCTTCTTTCTCAGTCTGTGAGCATCGCGATGTCTTAGTTAGACTTTCAATCCATCTCCTGAGGCCCCTTAATCAGTTGCGTCGCTGGAACCGTGCTGATATGGGCGTGCTGCTCTCAGAAGCAGAGCTCTCTTCTCACAAGCAAACGTTGTCTGAATCCAAAGCTTGCATGCACTCATGTGAGGTGGCCGGATATGAGCGAAAAGTACCACGTCAAGTACGTCCACCCCGCGGTAATTCTTGGCTGCGGCTTTCATCCAGTTTCTAGGGGCATTCCTGCCAGGTTGGGGAGATTCCCTCCGGCTTGTTTCCAATAAGTGTCGAACACCCAGAGCTCATCAACCATCACTCAGAAAGCTCGTGTCTTGCAGTCCATGAGTCTACAGTAGCTACGTGCTCCTGAGATCGGCAGCTGGCAACTGGACAAGATCCCCACTGTCGTCGGAACTGCAATGTGAGGGCCTTCGAGCAAACGGAGACGACCAGCTCTCAAGTTGCGAGTCCTGTTCTGCTCAGGTCTGCATGCCTGATCGGCTACATGGAGTCCATTGCCATTGGGAAGAACTTGGCAGCTACCAATGGCTATGAGATCGAGGCTTCTTGCATGCCCCGGTGCTTGACAGATGTGGGGTTTCCGTTCTTGTTCCTTGGCCGTGACCAATGGTGCAGCTGCTGTTACTGTGAAGTCCAACAGCCGTGCTCAGTGTTCAGATGGTGAGAAGGGACGCAGTTTCTCGGCCTACCGAGTTGTCTTAGTGACAGTCCAGCATCTAGTACGCGATTCTGGTTTGCCCCGGGCCCGCACGCTCTGGCAATGCTCTTCGAATTTCTGTAATGGCATGAGATGACGCTGAGATGGCAATTGGTGGACTTGCATTCGCAGCAGTTGCGCTGCACTTTGCGCACTGCCCTATACATATTCTGCTCAGCAAGGAAGCTTTTCTTTTTCTATGACCGCAACTTCGTGCCACTGCGAGATCAGCACCTCGGCGAATTCGTGAGCTTGCGCCGTCAGGCAACCAACGAATCTGCTTTCTGTGGCAATCCCCGCTTACTTTTTTGCACTGTATCAATGTACACCCAGAGCGTCCCAAAATGAATCTTCACAAGCATGTCACTGTCTTTGGCAACTGCAGTTCAGCGGAGTCCGAGGATGGTGGCCTCTCTGGAACAGAGTGGAGGGCTTGCAGATTTCACTTTGTGTGAGGATGTGCTCGATGACCTGAAAGGCCACGGAAATCCAACATTCAAGCATGCTACTCGTAGCATTTGCAAGTGCTGTTCTCGGACACGGCATTGCTTGGCGAGGCAACAATCGAGCCGGTGGCGGCATGCCGACGTATTTGCTTCCTGGCGACAGACATGGTCTCTCTCTTTGGATTCATTGCTCTGCTAGTGTAAGCGTGTACGTGTAGACCCCAATATTCCGCGGGCATCGGTCGTGCGCAGAGCTCAAAACTGTTTCCTTCGCTGATCCAAACTATGCGGAGGTACAAGTCGGCCAAGATCGGCAAAGCCCTCAATGATGTGGCAGGGAGCTTAGAACAACAAGAGGCCGCTTCTACTTGTGAGTGTGCACCTGTTCAGTCAGGACACCGATGAAATCTTCTTGTTCACAGACGTTGATGTTCAGTACTTTCAACCGGCCACAGACCCGGAGGATTGACTCGGTCTTCGTCAGCTTCTCACTAGGTAGGAGCCGCTTCATGCAGCTGCCGTCAACCCAGGTGCATGACATTGTCAGGGAATGCATGGCAGATGGTACCGACATAGTCTTTCAGCAGGACCCGCCCCATGATTGTTTGTGACATGAAGTCCCGAGCATGCAGAGCTGCCTAGCCTCCAAACTCGTTCGATCGTGGAAGGAGTTCGAAGACATTGGAGTAAACATCGGCAGCTTGCATACGTCAGTGTCCTTCATGTTGTCCAAAGTGCAAGGCACAGAAGAACGGCATGCTTTCTGGAGTGATTGTGCGACATACTAGCCGCCCCACTAGTCCGGCATGATGTTCGCCCGTTTCCACCGCTTACGCTGCCAGTTCTTGCCCAGGTTTCATGGCCATGCGGAAAAGCGCAGCATGTTGCCTGGCAACACAAAAGTCCGATGCTTTGCGAGACGATGTGCTGTGAAAGCCGAGCGAAACCAGGTCAGGCGTTTTGGGAGTTTGTGCATGCTGAGATCAGCCGCACCCAGGCGCTGGACCAGAGGGTCACTTGCCTAAACACTCTTTCGTCAAAAACTGCACAAAGATACGTCCGCTTTCACGAACCCTGCGACTGGGGCTTTGATGCCTTCACAGAGAGCCCAGGTTGTGAACAACAGCCTCTATTCCGGGCATGCAGCCGCGACTTTCGGTCTGCGATGGAAGAGATGGCCCAGCAGTCTTGCCTGAAAGCAGTGTGGCAAAAGGGTGTGAGAAGTGTGTGAGGTGGGACCGGGGTATAGTGGCTGCATGGCTTAGGTAGCATCTGGGCCTCGTCTATGGCCTTCTCCAGCCCACTTCCGCAGCCGCTGGTGGCCACATGCCCGGAAATGCACCCCCCCCCCCCCCCCCCGAGGCATCTTGGGAAAAGTCTGCAGGCCGACTTTATCCTCCCTTCAGGTCCACCATGCCAACTTCCTCGTCGAAAAGGCCCCGGCAGCTGATCCGACCTCCAAGGCGGGTCCGTGGCCGCCCATTTCCCAGAATTCAGCGGCCATGAAAAAGCACAGAGCTGACGACTTGAGAAGGTGGCTCAGCTGATGCAGCTGCGTCAAGCCACGCTAGGAGACGACAAGGAAGCTCAGGCAGCGTGGGCCCTTCGGCTGCATCATGGGTTCATTGTCTTCTGAGAAAAACGTTCAATGCCGAGCCTCTCGCAGGCGGAGTTCATGCAGGGAGCGAGGCCATCGATCAGCTGCGGTTGGGCATCAGGCTGGGAGCTGAAGGGGCATTGCAACGTTCTTGGCAACCAGGACTTGCCCGGCCATGCTGGACTACCGCAGCCGCCACTTCGGGGAGCGTCGTCCTGGACCGGAGTGGTCCACACTGCGCCTCGCTCGCAAGGGGACGTCCACCCACGAGCCCTAGACTTTGCGGGCCGTTACGGTTTCCCTTGTCCTCCCAGGCCCGAGAACCACATCGCTCGGCTCGGTGGCTACAGCGAGAGGGCAGCGAAGAGGGCCGCGGCGGTAGTCACATGGCTTTGGGATGTGAAGGGTCCCTGTGTCTAGGAGAGTCAGAGCGGCTCCCGTCTCGGCCTTTTGTCTGAGGTCAAAGGAGCCCCCTGTGATCCTGACGCTGCCAGAATCGCTTGAAAGGATGGAAAAAGTCGTGCTGACGGCTATGCAAAGAACATGGTGGTGAAAGGCCCACCTCACAAGTCACACGCTGACTTCCTGTCCAGGCAGGCCAAGAAATGCTTGCCCTGGGAATCTCCAATCTGGTTGGTGCAGCTTTCTCCTGCTACCCCGTCACTGGCAGGCAGGTGTCGTCCAGATATCTTCCTGTAAATCTGTTGTGAAGTTGATTTGACCTTGCAGTTTCTCCCGCTCTGCCGTGAACAATTCCACAGGCACGTTGCTTCCAAGTCGTGAGGGCGAAATAGTGGGCAGCAGTGTTTCTGTTTAATGCCTCCAATGAAAACGTGGTTCAGCATCTTTGCGAATCGTCCAAAAAAAAGTATCAGCGCCATCAGCGGCTAAAAGCTGCGTTGAAGTCAGCCTGGGGAGGAGCGCAAACTCAGCTCTCTGGCGTCATCACTGCGATTGTCATGCTCTGCACCCTCTTGTGTCTCGGCTTCTAGGTCCATACCTGCCAGTGAGCTGGGTATCTCCGCACACATGAGAGGCACTTGAAGCATCAGGCCTCCCTCGCATCTCCGCCTCTCTTGCCTTCCTAGAGAAGCAGCTTACTGGAGGGCCTAGGTGTCGCTGGCATGAGTGGTGAAACTGCAAGGTTTCTTACGCCTTTGTTCTACTACCTGCCCAAGGCAGGCCGTCGTCACATGACATAATGCTTTCTTAAGCCAGCATGCAGTATGTCGCTCGCGTAGAATGCGCCGGTGCTTTGACACTGGCGAAAGGTGCGTGCACTGTTCCGGCAAAGCACCCATAAGGATGCCTGTGGAGTGCTTGCAGTGTGTATGTGGGTGGATGGGGATGGGGGGGGGTGGTGCGGGTGCAGGGTGAGTTTGTTTGTCTTTTCCAGTTGTGAGGTAAGGCGAATGCTGATTAGATCTTTCGTTAGATCCAAGCTGCGGAGTCTCGAGTGACTGCCACAGATTCCAGTGTCCAAGCGTTTCAGCAGCACTGCGCCATGCACGATACGCATCGGGAACACTACCACAAAGATTGTGGCTGCTCAGTTTGCTTTGGCCGCCATTGTCATGAACTCTGTGATTCCCCTGGTCGCCTTGGGGGAGGCACTGCTTGCAGTGGATGTCTTCCACGTAGTCAGCGCACCAAATCCAAACCAGAAAAGCAGTTCTCAGGCGAAGCACCTCTTTCACGTCAAGAAGCATGACTTTCTGCTCTGGGTAAGACACTCAGCTTGCATTCCGCCGTTCAGGCGTCGAATCGAAGTGTGGCCGTAGGTCACTGCATTTCTGGGCACGCTGTTCCTGGGCGTTCTCATGGGAATCCTGGTCGCGGTGACCTGCAAAGCAGTTAGCTGCAAATAACCTAAACCATGGATAGCACCTCATACCTGGACTCTCTTGGACATGCTATTTCCGGGACATGGTAAGGTTGGCCTGTCCCTGATAATTGTCATCTACGAGTCCGCAAGTCGGTTGCTGAGCCTATTCAAGCTGATTCCGAATGGCTACGACTTTTGCCGAATTCAGGACCACAAATTACCATTTTGTGGCGGATACCTGGGACCTCCATCTACCGGAACATGAAGCAGGATTCCGGCGCATGCAGCGCAGGGTGGCGTGCCTCTGCCATGGAGAGACTGTCGTGACAAGCATCGGTCGTTGCGCAGAGAGCGCATCGAGCTCAACATGCTGCACGTCCACAAAAATACATACACATACGCACGCAGACATGCAGGCATACAGACGGACATACCTGCGCGAAGGCGTACAGGCACACGTGAATACATGACGACATGCGTACATGCCTACATGCCTACTGCATTCCATACAGAAGTGCACAGATAAACGCAAGGGGAATACATATACACACAAATACACACATATATACACACATATACACGCACATATGCACACATATACATGCATACACACATACATACCTACCTACGGACGGACGGACAGACAGCCAGCCCTCCAGACCGACATATGATCAGTATCCCTTCGAGCTGCACTCCTACTCCAGACCTAGATGTCTCGAACTCTTTCCTGAAGCTGCATGCTGCTGCCCATGATCCGTGAAGGAGAGCAGTGGAACCTTTATTCAAAACGTGTTCATCGCACGGATCGGTTCATCTCTGTAAAGTCCTCAGCCTGCAGAGACTGCAGAATGGTCCCCACATCATTGCTCGGCTAAGGTACTTTGCCAATGCTTCATTCGTGAAGGACAGCATCTTGCAGCCCAGTCTTCGATCATTGATGTTCTCTTCTTGACAGCAGGACATGTTGCTGGCACACGTCAGTGACCTGGATATTGTGAACAAGACCGAGTGCGCTGCAGGTGTCGGACAGGTGACAATTGAGGGGATGATGGAGTTAATCAGTACTGTGCCAGTGAAAGGCATCGTTTCGAACCGCCAAACGCGAGCAACGTTTGCAGGTACATAGTCTTGGAAATGACGCCAGTGATCAGTGTGGACTCCTCTGCATGCCATGTCATCAAGGAGACGTTCTGTGTCTGGCAAAATGCACCAAATATGCAGCAAAGCAGTACGGGTTTGGTATTTGCAGGGCGTATGACAAGATTCCTGGGGTTCCCTATTATAACTATAATATAATTTCCCCAAACCCTACTCTAATTATTAAGGCCCCTATGTTGGAGCACCCCGGACCACCTTGAGCTCCTCATTGGCCAGATTTGTGCCTGAACCCCCTGGATCTCCAGCGCCATCTCCCGAGCTTCACGGCAGGATGTGGTCAACGACTTCCGCATGAGGAACATGCAGGCACTTTGCATCCTGTGAGCAGTCACGTAACCCTCAACCCCAAACCCTAAACCCATGTGCTATGGGATGAGTAGCGAAAGAGTCCTGTAGTAGATCGTGCTCTGCAGGTGGCTTTTGCGATGGTAGGCAATCGGGTCGACAAGACTCTTCGCAAGGCCTTCCTGCTGCTGGTACATCTGAGATGTTGCTCAGCAAGGGTCGAAGTTTTCTTGGAAGCATGTGCGTGTGTGTGTAATGTCCAGGCGGGCCTGAAGAAGTTCATTGGTGACCAGTGGTTCTTTCCCACCGTGGAGGAGGAACTGGCCAGTCTGTAAGTGCAGTAAGTGCAATTGTCTTCGGCCACGTCTCCGCAGGCTGTGCAGTACTGCGTGAAGCATCAACATGCCCGGCGAGTGCAGGATGAGAGGCTTGGCTCTCAGTGTCTTCACGCCAGCTGCATTGAGCCCATGCAGGTCGAGCCGTGCCGCCTCTGGAATGCTGACCGAGGCGCCCTTGTCCAAAGCGCACACTCCGTTCGAACAGCATTTCTGCACTTGCAGGAAGAGAAGCAGGGCACCGCTGGCCCGATCGACATTTCAACTGTCTGCCTCGCCCGGTTGACGCTTTGCAATTCTTCCGTTCTGTGCTGCTCATGCTGTCACCCGTGCAGATCCAAGTGCATACCGGAAATGAGATCGGCTTTAGCAACGACCTCCATTCAAGCTGCACTATGGCCGCCTCTGCATGTTTTCCGACATGTTGTGCGAACGATGCGAGCGTACCCCCAGGGCACATCAGCAATTCTGAGCAGTCTTGCGCAAGGTGTTCATTAGCTTGGTCAAAGACGTCCCAATGATCATGAGTGAGATTGCGAATGTCTTCAAGAAGAACCAGGCTGCAGTTTTCGTGGGCTTCAGACTGCGAGTGTCAACTGGCATCCGATCTGATCAAGTACCCGCCCGATGCCAGCCTTTGACAATGAAGGTGAGTATCATCCGAGCCCAGATAGATCCGTCGGCAACACCCTGAGTGGGGGTGCATCGCACTGTCATGTGGTGCGACTTCCGTTGCCAGCCTGACTGACTTGCAGAATGATGAAAACGGGGCGAAGCACATTTATTTCGTCCGCAGCATCAGGACAGTGCATTTTGCAACAGAAGTAACAGAAGCATGAAGCCAATGCTCGTGGCTGACAGGACGGACAACAAATTGACCGTCTTAGAGATCAGCAGGATCCGAGAGGACAGACCCACTCAGATGCAGGCGCCGTCGGAGCGAATTAATTCGTTTTGTGAGGACCTCGAGGTGGTTTTGAGGAGGCACCAGCTCATCAATTCCAAGGTGCTCCGGGTACAAAGCATAAATAAGTTGAACCTCCATTACGACTCCATACAATGGGCCAGGCCAGTGGTGAAACCTTCGAAGTCATCTCCCCTAGTCACGGCTCCATCAGCAATGTGACCTGGATGAATCCGCTTTCGGCAGTTGTCCAGCATTCGTCGGCCCCTTTTGCAGACAAAAAGTGGATATCACCCTTAGCCGAGGAGGATATACAGTTGCAGCACAGTGCTGTGGTTGCCTCGGCGGGCCCCCGTTCCGAGCACTAATGGGACCCGTCACTATTTCCAGCTGCCTCTCAGGGGACTGACCGGCTCTCCAGACTGGAAGAGGCGGACTACGTTTGACGGTCAGTTTGGTCTCCTGTCGGCGCAGGTTGTGGCGTCTTCAGAATCTCAGAGAACCAGAATTGATGCTCAAGGCTCAAAGCAGCCATTTCTGCAGTAAAGGCATGCTGCATGTAGGCAGCATCAGAACTTCAGTATGCCTACAATGCCTCGCTACTCTTGCACCGCAGAATGTCTGTCGGCATTCAAGCCCGCAGTTAAGATAGGCGACACAGACAAGAATCGACCACTTGGCTCTGCATCCTCTAGATGTTGAGCTTGGGATGCTCGCGTGGTCTCGCGCCGTCTCCAGTCCGCTGGAAGGCCAGCCGGTAGCCTCAGTTCGAAGTGACGAAACAGTTTCGGGTTCTTCATCTGGACCAGGGAGCTGCTTTTCCTCCGAGACGGGCAGAGGTGGGGTCTCCAAGTCCAACGCTTCATCCCTCGCACCAGCAATGAAGGCTGCGCAGAGACCGTGCCGGCCTACCCTCTCCGTGCTGGCCGCTGCGGCAGTGCCTGTGCACCACTCACTGCCGTTTGAGCTTGTGATTCCGAGCTGCTTGTGTGGGCCTTTGGTCTTCCTTGCCGCCTGCACTAGTTTCCCTTTCAGGTGGTGAGTTCGAGTAGTGTGCCACCTCAAAGACGCGCTCGCCGGTGGCCAACTGGCCACGTGGTGCGCCCGAGGGAACCGTGACGATGTGACTTCCATGACCGCTTCATGCTTTCAGCCTGTACTTTTGTTTCAGTGATTTTCAGTGTGTCGCTGCACTCTTGCAACTTGCCGCTGCTCGCCATCATGCGTTCAAGTTACTGGACACGTAGACACGTCTCCATGAGTGAGTTCCATCGCGCTCCTACTATGAAGAAGAATGCTGCCGCAGCGTGCCATGGACGCATTGCAGACAAGCCCACATCGCTGCTTAACACTTGTTGCTGCGAGCGGAAGGTTTCCAGGGATTTAGCCAAGGTCAGGGAGACGGAAGGTGCCGAGGAGAACTCGAACGATGACGAGGTTGCTTTGTGTGTCCGCGGTCGTGGCCACAGCAAATGGCAGCAGCTTCACAGCTGCAATCAGCTGCAAACTTCCAAAGTCCGCTGCAAATTGTACCACCCGGCTCAGCTTGCATACGTCCGCCTCGGCATTCGAGCCGTACGCAGGGGCAGCCTTTGGTTTATAGTTTAGGCGCAACATGGTTGGGGCGGGAGCAGGGCATGTGAGGGATCAGGAAGGCGCACCATGGGGACCCTTATGTTGGCCGGTTCTTAAATTACCGTTCCCTCTTAACTCTTGCGCAGGCACGAGGTCAACTTTGTCTTGAGCCAAGGCATAAGCATGGCAGAGACACGATGTACAGAAGTTCCCACATTTCCAGGCCGGATCCTTGTTCTCATGTTAGCTTGAGGATGCGATTCTTAAATACACGTCTTGAAAGGCGCCAGGTCGGTTGTACGGTTGTACTGTTGAATGTCCGGAGGTGTTGGCTGAGCACAGTACAGTGAGTACAGCACATTTAGGCAGAGGTTGTGGCGGCTCAAAAACCTGGTTGATCGCGGGCCCCCTCTGTTACAGACCATGTTCATTCGGCTTTACGAAAGTTATTGAAGGCTGAACTCATAGCGAACAGGTAACAACCTCGGAATCGACGTAGGACGACCGCTGTGAAGATGTAAGCGAGGCCCACAGAGCCTGACAGCACGACTTCGGCAGTTTGTGTCGCCTCCTTCAAAGACTCGCGGAACGGAAGCAGCTTTGTAGCCGGTCGCTGCACCTTGCAAGGCGGCTGCGATAGTGAGGCCGTGACTGGCGCATGCTACTCAACCCGAACGGGCGTGAGTTGGGCGTGCTTCTTGGCAAGATGGCCTGCCCGTCTGCGTGGGGGCAGTTTTTTTTTGGTTTGCCTTCTGATGGAGAAGTCCTAGGTTCCCGACCACAGCAAAAACCACAATGCAAGCCTGCACATGAGGTGGAGCGCCGAGCGGTAGTTGTGATACTGTTCCTCTCCCGCCGCCAAATGGTAGCTTGATCAGCATCGAGCATCAGAGGCTTGCAGTGGCATGTGGGGCTTTTGGTGTGTGTCCTCTGACCTTTTCTTCTTCATACATCACGAAAGTAGGAAGCCCCTGCGCTGCTGCATCATCTGCACCGCGCTTCCGGCACGACTGGAGTCCTCTGTTGTCCAGGGAGTTTCTTGGAAGTTCACGGATCTCCATCCGAGGTGGCGCATACGAGGGCTATTGCAGTTTCGCCGGCGAAACGGCTACATTCACTAGCACATCACGGCCTCCTGGCTGAGAGATGCGGAGAGTACTCTAGACAGCGGGAATGGCCCCACCATTACTAGAGTAGTGTAGTACGGTGTATTTTTCGTCCTCTTCTAAGGTCAACCAGTGTTTCCGAAACCAGCAGCACTCTCACAACCACCAGCTCAGCGAGCTCGAGCTCGCTGAGCACCAGCTTTTCGAGCACCAGCAGTGCTACTGGAACGTCGACACTGCCTTTTCCACCAGAAGGCGCCTCCCTGGGGACTGGGGCCTGGGTCGGAGAGGCAAAGAGAGGGGTACAAAGAGAGCATGAAAGAGATCTCCGCGGCGGCAGGAAGTCCTGTTGCCGAGTACGGACATCTGAGGGTCGTTGGGACTCAAATAGTGAGCCAGGGCCTCAGCCTCTTGTGCCGACGAAGACTGCAACTGCTCCTCCACAGCGGCCAAGCACACCACTGCCGCTGCCGAAACCAACCAACGTACGACATTTAACAGCCAACAGCCAACAACCATCGAAGCAGCGACAAGCAGCAGCAGCAGCAGCAGCAGCAGCAGCAGCAGCAGCAGCAGCAGCAGCAGCAGCAGCAGCAACCGCGACGTCGACGATACACCGCGACTCCGAGCACAAGTGGACTAATGCTACTGCACTGCTGTTTCTGCGACGAGGAGGACGAGACGGGAGCAACACGACGATTCCCATGTTGAATACTAGAGGAAGAAGCTGGCAGTGATACGAGCAGGCTGCTTACGTCTTTAGGTTGATCATGGTGATGACGTTGATGATGAGACGATCGGAGGAGGAGCAGGAGGAGGGAGGAGGAGGAGGAGGAGGAGGAGGAACTGCATTTAGTCTCCTTCTTGTTGTCTCGTTGCCTACTTCGGTGCACATAGTTATGCCTGCTCCTTGCTAAGCTTGAGGTCAGAATACCGGCGAACCTGTCCGGCTCCGCGGCATGTCGCTTTTCTGGTCACAGCGCCTCTGCTAAAGGTACTACACATCAAGACGCACGGAAGCTATGGTTGCGAGGGGAGTTTTCAGAAAACTTCCAGCGCGGTGAGTATCCGTGCGTATTTCGGCCACAAGCCATGCCTGAAGTAGATCTCTATAGATGTTGCACCAGCCATGAAAGTTGCAGCATTGCAGCATCTTATGACGCCAGGAAGATCCGTTACAACAGCCTTCGGAGGTTGCATCCGTGAAGTCCCTGCCATGGCACTCGCGCGGTCTCCCGCGCCTGGATCACGACCGGGACCAGGGTCGGCACCCGGGGGCAGCCCAGTCGCCGTGGAGACAGCCCCAAAGGCCGGATCGACACTGGGTTTGACGATGTTGCAGCAGCTTGGTCGCCGGAAAGGTCAATGCATTTCGCAGCTTCTGCCAACAACTGACGGAGCAACTCTGCCTGGAGTTTGAGCGTGAGGCGATGCCAAGTGTCCCGTAAATGAAGCCACAGATGCGAAGTGTCTGCAAATATCTCCACTCGCAGGTTCAGCAGCTGACAGAGGACGCCGGGCACCTGTGTGTTGTAGCCGTTCATGTGTGCACACCGTCACAGGGTACTCTAATTGCTGTAACCTGCCAGCCCGCAGTGCCACAAGATCAGCCACCAGGGACATTTGCTTCACAGCTCACAGTTTATGTGTACGTCTCCCGTACACTCTTGCGGTCGGCCTGCGCCCCGGCAGTGTGTCTTAGGTCGTGCGCTATCGAGCAGAACTGGCCAGATGCGCGGATCTCTTGGCATATCAGCTGGGCAAAGAGAAGCAGTGACTTGGCTTTGCAGGCGTAGCTCGTGGTTTAGTTGTTGAGTTGCAACAACCATGCGATTATAGAGCACTCATCTTCACATACGATTGGCATGCATGGCGGCATCAGGTACCACTCGATGCTGGAAAGTATTGCGGGCAACACCTCTATGCTCATGGGGAAAGCGAGTGAGGCCACTGTGGCATCGCGCGTAAGGAAATCGATGCATGATGCTGTGCCTCGAGTTACTCGTTGTAAACGCTTCGCGCGATCCACCTCGGCAAGTGAGGAGCGGCCGCAGGCGGTGTGTGGGGAGGGGGGGAGGAGGGAAGGGGGGCAGGGGCAGGGAAAGGAGGGATGCAAAATTCTTGCTCACTGCCTACGAACAACCAAAATTCCTTGAAGGACACGAAGCGGAGAGGGGGGGGGTCAGAGGGCCAGGATAAGGGGTGGGGTGGGTCACTGCGAAGGGTATTAAGATGTATGAAGCTGAGGGGAAGCAGGAAACTTTGACCGCTTCGTCAGTGAACGTGGCGCTGGTGTGATGATTGTGCTCGTTCGATATTTTGTCTGATGATTCTGTAAGTCTCAGTTTGACGGGCACGGCCTGCAGAGTACTGGCTTTGACATTCAGGCATTGTATCTGGTCAGGTCGGGAACAAGGCCAACATGAGCGATCCTTTGATCAAGCAGCAGCTCCTTGGAGAGGAAGATCGGCATTTTTGCTTTCAGTGCAGCTTTCTGAAATCTGCCAAGGATGCATCAGATGCTGGACCAAGTTCTGCACGGCCAAACGGGTGCACTGGCGGAAAACCTGGGAGGCATCGACGAACACCGCACCATGGCCGCCTTACGTGAAGCCTGGTGGTACTCGTAGCATCTTTAGCATCTGCGTGTCATTCCGCAGGTCGGCTTGCGGAGTCCCACCTGATGAAATCCTCAGAGCTGCAGAACCAATCTGAGGCTACTTGTACGAGTATCTCACTTTGCATGTCATACGACACACACGAGGACATGAAGTGCCTGAAGCATCTCTGCAGGCTGTTCAAAAGGAGCTTGAGAACATCCTCCAAGCATTGTGCTTTGGCCCTGCTACCAGTAGCTTGAACATGCAGCATGGAATCCCGAGCACAGTGCATCACGACGCCTCAGGAACATGCCTCCGGTGGCCTACACTCAGGCCCCAATGATCAGGCTTGGCATCTCCAATGATCCTCGCGCTTGGATTTTGAAGTGGCTGGGTGAAACCGGAGGCCACCAGCTCCAGCTCCAGGTGCACCCGTCCTTCGTCCCATGAGCCTCACATGAACTTCTCAGGTGGGAATGCTGGCTGCAGCAGAGCAGCAAGAGCTAAGTTACTAAGGGCAGGCTGCCAGATGACACCGCCTATGCCACCTTTCCCGCAATATTGCCAAGTCCATCCGCTCCCTGTCAGCGAGCGTCAGTGCTAATGCTGGAGAGGCGAGGCAGGTCAGATTTTTTGGGTTTGCTTTCTCCATTCCGTGAGTCTCTTGCAGCAAGGTTGGGGGCTCCTGGTATGCCTGTGATGAAGCTTGGTGCAGCAAACTTCATGGGACTAGGACTGATGGCAACGATGTGACACGATGTGACGGTTCATCTCTTGAGGCAGCCTGCCCCGGGCGTGCGCCCATTCGGAATGGTGCCGCAGCCCGCGAGCTTTTTCGACGGAAATACCGGTGCGCCAGGCCTGTAATGGTGAATGCGAGTGTGTCTGAGTTCAAGCTCGGCGGACTTTGATGACAGGCATGCCTCCTGTGTCCCCCGGTGGAGCAAGCGCGAGCGCAGTGCTTGCTAGAAGTGCTGTGGCGGTTGAGTCCGCCAAAGCCGCAGATGCTGGAACAATCGGGTTAAGCAACCCAAACCAACGGTTTGCGTGATCGGTCCCTTGCGATGATGGCCGATGCCGTCCTGCAAATGCTTTTCACGCGACATACTATGAGTCTTCACTGGCACTGGCCCTGCAGCCATTATTGTACAGCAGTGTAGAGCCTTGGAGCCCTTGGACTCTGAGAGATTGGCCAATGACATGCCAAAGCGCGCAGAAACAGCCCTGGGCCTCCAGCGTGTTGCATGGGAAAGCATCAGTCATAAGTTGGAGAAAGCGGTTGAAGATAACTACTATGATAGCTAGGATTAGGCGGACCCTTGGGGATATAGACCCTCTAATAATACTACCTATACTACCGGATAGAACAAGTAAGCAGCAGAGCTGCAGAAATAGCTGCTGTGCTTTTCTGGCCCGGCCCTGGCAAGCCGAGGTGGGGTGGTAAATACTGGAACGAGGATACGCTCAGATGGCTGCAGAAAGCCGCATCCCCAGCGCCTCACACTTTGCTAATCCTTCCGGTATGTCCCGTTTTTTCTCCCAGGATTGGGGAATTCAGATCATCCGAGCTGCCATGGGGGTAGAAGCTGGTGGATATCTCGATCGACCAGAGCGAGAGTGCCTCGCCATGACGATGCATGCTGCAGCCACAGTCAGTTCTGCCGGTGCGTGGATGCCAACATCAGACAACCCAGGTTTCGCAAACTCGTGCGAGTCGTTTGGGCCGCGCATGCTCTAGGCCCGAAGCAGCCCGCCAAGATCCTGCCAGCCTTGCCCACGACTTGTTCGGCAGGCTTGTACGTCATTGTCGACTGGCACGACCATCACGCCAACAGAAATGTTGCAAGAGCAAAGCCGTTCTTCCGACGGATTGCGCTCCGGCCGAACGAATGCACTTGTCTTGCTTTGCTGGGGTGGGCTCATGCAGTCTCATCGTGCGGTTCCTCTGCAGGCAAAAACATATGGCCACCTGCCAAACGTTCTGTTCGAGACTTTCAACGAGCCCACTTGGCAGAGTTGGAGCCAGGACCGTCTGTCTTGTGGTACTGCAAGCTCGGAGACTAGCCATGTCTACAGCTCCAAAGTTAAAGCTTTGCTTGAAATATCTCTGCAGCTACTTGAGCTTGCGAGTATTCCTCCAAAGGCTTTGTGCTACGCCCACATGAGCCGATGGAATTTCTGAGTTTTTGAGTCAGCTCTGGGAAGGCCGTCAAGCCATACCACGAGACAATTCTCAAGGCCCTTGACTTCTGAGTCCAGTTTGCCAGAAGTAGCGAGCAGAGCTTGTGCTAGCGTTCTTCAGCCGTGTCTTCGCAGAATCATCGGCGCAGGTCATTCGGCCATACTCGAACAACATTGTCATCTGTGGTACTCCAACCTGGTCGCAAGACGTTGATATCGCACCGAATGAGCGGGTTCAAGGCAGGTGCTCGGTTTCTGCAACAGACTTTCGCGGCTGGTCCCATTCCGCCAGGCGACAATATCGTTTACACCCTGCACTTTTATGCGGGGACGCATCACCAGTACCTGCGAGATAAGGCAATCAGGGCACTGGAAATGGGGGTAGCACTGCAGCTTGACAGCAGAAACGTGCAGTCAGCGCAGTGAGCAAAGTTCACGGTTCAGTATGTGCTTTGTCTTTGCAGCTTTGCACTGGCCGCACGAAGGTTAGTATCAGAGTGGGGGACGTGTGAAGCCAATGGGAATGGACATCTGGACTTTGAGCAGGCGCAGTTGTGGGAGGATTTAATGGCTGGCGACCCAGGTTTGTGAAGTCATGTCTACGGCGTGGCCACGTCAGCGCTAGTGGTGGAGAGAATGACAGACGGCCATGTCTGCCTGTCAACGCTGCAAGACGTTTGGAGGGAGACAGGGCTGACTTGCGTGCATATAGTAGGCTTACAGACGCTAGTACATGTTTGCGTTGCACATTGCGTTGGAAAGTACACTCCGGGGTGATGCGAAGGGTTAGCTGGATTTTGGCAGCTGTAGAAACATCAAACACAACTGCGATTCGCACGATCGACTTACAGATTTTTGGCAGAACAAGTGCAACGAGCTGTTGCAGCTGCTGCACGAAACAGCCGGGAGAGCAGGGGCAGCAGCAGCAGCAGGAGCGGCGAAGGCGACGACGACGACGACGACCACGAGCAGGACGACAACTACCTCAACAGCGAAAAGTGCAGTAACTAACAGCAGCAGCAACACCAACACCACTGCCATCGCCAGCGTGCCTGCCACCTCGACCAACACCGCCACCCTCATAGCCATCGTCACCGCCACGACACTACTGCACGTCTGCTCACGTCCAGTCTTCCTCATAGTCTTTGTTTTGCACAGTCTCAACCGGGTTGCATCTGCCAAGGCAGAGTACAATATTACTGATGCGAACTGGGCAGCACCATGCTTGCACGAGGGAAGGCTTTGCTTTTATTGGCTTTTGGTGGTATGGCGACTGCCGCACCCTGTGAAAAGCTAATGTGGGCCTGCCATGAGGTGGCACCCTAAACCCTAAGCTTTTCCTGGGATCTGAAAGGGAAGTAGCTGAGACCCGAGGTGAACGACAAGAAGGAGTCTTGTTCTGCACTGAAACCGGGAACTCCGGGAACTGCCACCAACGGCCACCGGAATGCGGCCGACCTCACACCTTCGGGAACCGTGGCATGAAAGGCGGTCGCTCCTTTAGAGATGTTTACAACGATTTGCAGAGTAGTGTAGTCTGAGGATTCGGGGATTGCAGCACTTTTTTAAGCGATTTCAGGTCCGGGCAATGCTTGTAAAATCCAAAGCTGGACACCCCTTAGATTCCCTTAGTCAGATAGGCTAGCATACGGGGTAGCACCTCATCGGCTTGCACCTCGCAGATCTTATCACGTTTCTCACCGGATGCTGACTGAGGACGTTGGGTTAGAGCCTCTTTGCGCCATCATGCGTTTGGAATCCTGCCGCCATGGATGACTACAACAGAAGCTCCCTCTGGCAATTCATCGGAGCAGAACGATACCCAGATCTCTAGCTCGACCGCTCCAGCCTCCGAGGGCGTTCGGAGGCCAGGTCCGAAACGGGGGGTTTAGGGTTTAGGGTCTAAGAGCTGGCCTTCGCCGCAGGTTGCGTGGCTCTCTACACGCTCTTTTTGATCTTCCATTGAGCGCGGCTTTCAATCAAGGCTACAACACAGCTGTGGTCGTGCTTTGCATTTGGGCTATTGCTTTTTCCGTGGAGCTATCCGTCTAAAGCTGAGATGGCTCCCCCCCCAGATAGGCACAGTGCTGGCATGATGAACAAGGCCTGCAGTACCAGTTCCTCAAGCACTGGAGTGTTGCTGCACAGACTCTGGAACGGACTGCATGGGCAAAAATTAAAGAATGAAATGTTTAGTTTTGTGCCTGGATCCCAGACGCTAGGTAAAGGTCTGGAGCGGGCGGAATTCTGCAGCTTCTCCCAAGCGTGAGAGCTGCCTCTCATGCATGGCCACTTCCGTACATGCATGCTGGACACGTGCTCATTTGAGTGGCGTGATGTCCGATTTACGTTGCAAGTCATAGCTTCCTGCTTTAGACGTCCGGGCAAGTTTCGCTTCGTAATGATGTTTTTGGAGCTTGCGACAACTGAGGGCTGAATGGAAGATCTGACCCCACCAACCCCAATAATCTGATCCGATGAAGTTGCTTTTGAACAACAAGGCGCTGAGTTTGGCCGAGAAACCTTATGGAACACAGATGGAAACGGTGAGAATACCACCCATGTCAGATCTTTCTGGCAGCTCTTGGTTCGTGCTGGTCATTGCACCCACGGCCTAGCCTTTTGAAGCACTTGCTCCAGGTACATGGACAGTGCGTGGGCGCATATTCCGGGACCCCAAACACAGCTGGACTCATTACTGGTCCATCGAAGTTAGGGTCCTTGGACATGTTTTCAGTGTTTCCGCAGCATTCCCGTACAGAGTGCCTGCCTAGGGGTGTGCGTGGCACAGGCTAGCATCCCCCTCGCAGAGTGGCGCCGGTCCGGTTTGCTCGTTGCATGAGAACTGAGTCGCCAAACGCCAAAGGCTAGTCTAGCCTTAGGGCTAACGGCTTACGGGCATTCAAAGAAAAAAAAAAGGTCATTTTGAAACGTACTGAAACGGTGGTGCTCGTGCACCTCACATATAGAGCCCATGCGTTTGGGAAGGCTAACTCGGCCTTTACATGCTCGCAAAATGAGCGTTCCCCTCACCGGCCTACAAAGTACATAGGGCTGCGAGGTATACTGCGAAAGAGAAATAAAAGAACACACTGCGGGGTGGTGGGGGCAAGTGGCCCTGAACGGCACCTGGAAGCGGGCTCCGGCTTGTGGCATGTCAGAGCAGAGCAGATGGAGTTCCAAGCGAGGTACGACTGCGGCACTTGGAGACCAAGCATAGCTGCCACCTCAAAGCGAAATCCAAGCACAGCTCAGTCCAATGCCAGGCCGATCATGCATGATGAGATTGCGATGCTCTGCTTGAGGTTTTGAGTTCATTATCGAGAGGCGCACAGCGCTCAGCCAGGTGCTGTTTGGTGCAAACCCAGGAGTTGTACGAGGATGTGGTTGCAATAGCCCTGCAGGTTCGCATGCCGTACTTCTGAGTTCTCCGCTTGCTCCGTTTGAGTCGGCAGCTGAGCTTCTAAGCATTGTGCCCAGGGCCGCCAGGGGGCCACGTTACATTGTCCACATGGGGACAGTTGCCAGGCGAGTGGCATTGCCAGCCGTCCTGCCTGAAACAGGCCTAACAAGCCTTCTTCGCACGGCATCCCCAATTGCTCGTGTCTGGCTTTTCGGGAGGTGTGGGACCGGACATCCTGGACCTAAATGTGGCTAGGGCCAGTGGAAACGACAAGGATTGGTATTGCTTTCCAGCTTCGTGGCACTCCTGTGATCGCCTTTGTAGGACTGGCCCCTGTTTTGGTGTGTCAGCAGCTGGGACTCTGATGGTTCTCTCTGCCTGGAGATCAGCAGCGCTAGGAGGCTCAGGGTGCACTGAGCTGACTAAAGCGAGACTCTGTGACTCTGACACTGGCCTTGTTAAGCGACTGGTGGAGGCCTGACCTGGTGCTGTCGGCAAGCATAGATGGACAGCTGGTTCTGCAAAGGCGGCCAAGCAGCCATCTGGGAAGGACCCCTTGCAAGCGTTTCAACAGACATCGCAATTCAAAGTGTTTTGACTGAAGGCCTCGAGGCCCGGAATTGATGCCCGGGAATAGCCCACACACTACCTGGACGCACGCAAACACAGAGTCGCAGAGATCTGAGCTCGAAGTCTCAGGAAGGCAAGCAGCACGTTCGTCGAAGTCTTCTGCCAGGACTGCTTGGTCGGATTCTGGTGTACATTCACTGAGAATGATTGCTGGGCATAATGTGGCATACAGTTGCGCAAGAGCCTGTCATCAACATTTTCAGTCAGTGATTGCTTCGTCGCTCGAATGACTGTGCGAGCTTGAGGAGCACCTTCACGGTGCTGCGGCTGCGTCTGCTACAGTGTCTGCTACACCGCTCCGCAGGCGCTGGGAAAAGGGTCAGGCCGTGACAGCTCGCTGTTGACTCGGGTCAGGTCGGAGTCCGAAGAAGTGCAGAGCGGGATGCCCAAGTGGATGCGCTGCAAGCACCGATTGTCTTATTGAATGGTGATGTGTCAGTTGCTCATAGTTCATGGACCATCGCGCTTCCCTTGCCACCACCGTCATGACGACATCATCATCAGAGCAGCAGTAACGTTTAGAATACTGCAAATTCAGCACCCTGACCCTAACCCTCACTATCTACACCACAAGCCCCACAGGCCTTCTCAGTAACAGCGCGAGATCGGAAGTAGCAGCGTGGGATCGGCAGTATTTGCCCCCTGGTTTTACAGGTTTTCGCGCAGTTACTGCGCGCTCTCTTTCTACACCGCCACCACAACCTCGACAAAAGCCGCCACCCCCACGATGATGATGATGATGGTCGCCCTCATCATCGTCGTCATCGCTGCCGCATCCACCACCACCACCACCGCCGCCGC